AAAATATAACATTTATTTCTAAAAAATTCATTTAAGGGTGACAAAAAATCAGTTAAAGTAATATAATATTTTAATATATAATAATATTATTCTAATTAATATTTAATATAATTGTAACTTCAATAATTTTTTCAAATCTTGGTATATTTTAAACTACATTTTGCAAATGTGAGTTGAAATTCTTTCATGCTAGTTATAGTGTGTTAAAATAGGAGTTATTATTATTTATTCCGGATATTTATCAACTCTATTATTTAGAATTGCCTACAAATGTTTGATCGGTTTCGAATCTGGAGACTGCAGAAACCATTCGAGTTATTAATTTGATAGGAACAGAGAAAAGTCTGGCTTTTCTTTGTTATATGTTTTGGTGGTTGTTCGCAGTCTCCAAATTCGAACCTGATCGAATATCTGTAGGCCTTTCTGGATAATAAAGTTGATAAATATATATATAGTTATACCGAATATATACATATTAGGGTGGATCAAATATAAACTAGACTTGTTTTAAAATTATTTATATTCAATTAATACACAAAAATTAACACAAAATTATTTTTCTACATAGCATCCACTAATGTTTACACATTTTTGCCACCGCATTGGCAGTTTTTATCCCTGCTTCATAAAAAGTAGCAAGATGAGTATGAGATCAACTGCACACAAAGTCTTTCACTTCATCGTCGTTGGAAAACCTTTCTCTCGCTAAGGCTTTTTTAAGAGGTCCAAACAAATCCATCATATGTGAGAATGCACATCAAAAATGCGTCGCCTTCTATTGCATGGTGATCCAAAAGCCTTTGAGAGATTTCGGCCCTTGCGACATTCTGATCTGCATTCGAAATTCGAGACATCCATCGTGCAGTGATTTTTCGAAATCATAACTCATTCTCAATGATTGTTTGCACACTTCCATAAGTATGCCATTATGCCAATCCCTTTACTAATTTTACGAACGGTTATTCATCGATTGTCTTCAATAAAGTCGCGAATTTGTTAAATTCTCATATTCATTTCTCAGGCGTAATGCTTGTCCTTGGTCGACGCGCATAAGTCAAAGTTGCAACTTCTTCACGACCTTCACAAAAAAACTTATGCTATTTACATACTTGAGATTTCGATAATGTGTTTTTACCGAACTGTATATGTAATCTGCACAAAATTTTAGCTGATTTAACATGTTCGTGCATTAAAAATTTAATAATTATGCGTTGTGCAACAGAGACAGGCACCTTCTGTTCACTCATCGTGTTTACTATTAGACGAACGATTGTAGACACAAACGCGCAGCTTAGAGCGGGTCTAAACACGTCTACTAACAGCCCAATATTGTCACAACAACGAGCGTGAAAGTATCCTGCTCCTATTCAAAAAGTCTCGTTCATATTTGATCGACCTACGTATATTCGGAATAACTAATAATAACTCCTATTTCAAAGCACAACCAGCACGGGAGGATCTGGACTCGAAAAATGGTTATTGAGGTAAAGGGAAGTCATATTAACTATTAATTAGAATAATATTTTATTGTTTTCTGAAATTGAAATACTATATTACTTTAACAAACTTTTTTATTTTGTCCTTAAATGCATGATCTTACAGCATTATACACATACATTAAGGGGACTAGGCAATCAGATTTGTCAAAAATGAAGTTTTTGGGGGGAAATTTCTTACAAAAACAAGTAGAATTGTGCAAATTAGAAACTTGCACATTGCTTCCTCATCATTTTATTTTACAAAGCTTAAGCTGCTTTAAGCATGCGGATTTTTCAATTTTTGCTTCCTCATAGAGGAAGCTTTGTGAGCGAAATAAAAATTAAAATAATTTCTTTCACCGATCCTCACTAAATTCAACATCAAACATCCTTTAATAATACTCTATTCATGTAAAAAAATTTAAT